AATAAGCTAATCTCAAATCATCTTAAGATTTATCACATTCTTTCTAGATGTTTGCACCCTATAATATCAGCTGGCATGCTTATGTATGTACAAGACTGTTCACATAGATTCAATAGCTTATAAACTTCTCAGATAACTTAACAAGCAACTCATGCTTACGGATTTAATCAAGTTAAAAGACCATATAACAGGTGTGTACGTGCTTTCACATTCTTACCACATAACTTGATAAGTAGAGCTTCTAATACAACATTATAATAATGCTCAAAGGAATATCTTAAGTCAAACTTCCCGTTATGCAATCTCTTACGATGCTCTATTCGCATGAAATAACGTATAACATTATGATCATACTTCTAATGCAATCTAATGCAATAATACATTCATACTCATATGCAATCTCGTGCAACAATATAATCATTCTCTTATGCAATCTCGTGCAACAATATACTCATACTCATATGCAATCTAGTGCAACAATATAATCATACTCTTATGCAATCTCATGCAACAATATAATCATACTCTTATGCAATCTCGTGCAACAATATACTCATATGCAATCTAGTGCAACAATATAATCATACTCTTATGCAATCTCGTGCAACAATATAATCATACTCTTATCCGATCTAGTGCAACAATATACTCATACTCATATGAAATCTAGTGCAATAATATACTCATACACTCTTTTATAAATTAGAGTACTTTCTGTGGAGGTCTCTTTGTTACTTTCTCGAGTCTCTCTTGACTCTCTTTCTTTCTCTCGAGTCTTTATTGACTCTCTTTCTTGAGTCTTTATTTACTCTCTTTCTTGAGTCTTTATTGACTCTCTTTCTTGAGTCTCTGTTGACTCTCTTTCTTTCTCTTATACTCGAAGACGGCTTAGGGTTTCACAGAAGTGTGAATTACCCCATCGGGAACGGCATAATTTCGACCCAATATCTCCTACCGTCTACGGAACCAATCTCGTAGTTCAAACTCTGTGGAATCAGGTATCGAACTATTAGTGTGCACACCCCCTAACCAAGATTCCAAGCCCGGCGGGAAGTTTCCAACCTCGTAACGTGGGAATACGCCGCGTTACATATACAGGGACTGCAATGTCCATAATAATCTCCCGAGAGGAACATAGTCCAAACGGTATCCTCCAAAACCTCACCGATATAGATAATACATAAATATATCTCTCATGCATCAATCTCATGCATGCAACAATTTTATTACTTCTCAATGCATCAAAGAATGATATACCACATGCTTATGGTTTTTGAAAGTATTCTTGGACTCACGTTGGCCCCTTATGCATTTTTGAAATATGACACATGTGAAATGTCAAAATGCTATATAACATGCTTCTAAATCATGTATAAACTAACATGAAGTATTCAAGAATTTATCATCATGCTCGGTTTGCAACATAGCAATTTCTATACATTTCACTCAACAAATATGCTTCTATTCTCAGTGATCAAATAATACAATTTAATCATGCTTTCATAATAAATCATATTCTCAAAGGATCATGCTTCATTACTCAATAAAATATCATCAGATCACAATAATCAAATAATTCTTCACACACAGTAAACTAGCAAATTATTCACTGTGTAGCAATTCTTCACAAAATCCTTCATAACATTCTTGTTTTTAATCCGAATTCAATGAAATCAAAGCCAAAACATGTGTTGGGACGATCCCGAAGAGCCGAGCCACAAGGGACTGTAACACTCGGTCCAAAATGACACGTAGCTGAGCCACAAGGGCCCGGGCACTGCACAAATCCTTCACAGACAATACTCAGGGACCTGGGGCGGGACTCTTCATGGTCCGCCCCTGGAGCCCCATTGAAGCGCCGAGACTAGGCAACGGCCCTCCTCTAGGGCCGTGCCCAAGCCACCACGGCTCTAGCCGGCGACCCTTCTGATGGGTTGCGGCTAGGGCCGCCGCTCTGATCTGGTGTACACTGTGTTGTGCACCAGATGGCATTTCTCCTGCAAAATCTCATCCAAACAAGTCCAAAACAATCTCAACAACTCACAAACACATACTAAAACACTTCTAAGCATAAACACATCAAATGCTCGTAGTTTCTACTCATTTCTACTCAAAACTAGGCTTCACAGAGCCAAATTTAAAGAGGAATCCATGGGGTTATACCTCTTGTTGTCTAATCTTCTTGCTTGGCTCTCTTCTTCCTCTTGGCCTAGCTTGAGCCTCCTTCACCTCCTATACTTCCCAAACACACCTTCTATCCCTAGTCCAGAACCTCAAAGACTAAAGGAAACTAGAAGAGAAAGAGACTAGAATGAAGGATGAACAAGCTTACTAGATTGTTGTTTCTCTCCTTGTTCTTGGTAGACAAATGCTGAGGAAGAGGCAGGAATGAGATCAGGAAAATAAATTGAAATAAGGTGGTTTATATAGAGTTCAAAACCCTAGGATGATTCACAATGATTGGTTGAGGGCAAAGGGGTAATTTCCCAAGCTAAAAGATGAATCAATAAGGGATTTTGTATGTCTTGTGGTCCACCATGTAACATGAACCATAGGCTAGAAATACTATCTTTTATTACTTTGGGGTTGAAAGTGAATTTTTCCAAAAACTATTTGGATGAACACTTGTTCAAAAATCCTTTTTGAACTCTCCCGGTCTCATTCAGATAAAATTCTCGATTTAAATCTTGGTATGCGAAGTACCCGAAAACTTAGGGATTTTCGAATGGAATTTATTTCTTCGGTGTCGAATTAATTTAAAATGTGACGAAAATATTTTATTCAAACACCAATTGATCGCAAAATTTTTTAATGGAGTGAAAATGGATATTTTGAAATTTCTTAATACCGGATTTATAAAATGAAATTTTGGGTTGTTACACTTGGTCACACTGAAAAGTTCTGTCCTAAGCTCTTCGAGGGTACCAAGATCAACGAGGAGAAGCCTTACGGTGCCTAGCTAAGAGCGGCAAACCGGCATAGACCACCGACGGTCGGCAGTGGGTGGTTATTCCCAGAGTCGCCTCGCAGTAATGAGACAAAAGGGTCGTACAACCAGGGTACGGATGGTACCACGACTGGTCATAGTAGATGTGCGGATGACGTACCATAGTCTTCGTACAATTCTGTGCAGCGTACGGGTAATCTCAATGGAGGACATGTGCGCCCCTTCTGTTCTAGCATGCTGACAAACAACGAGGCCTTGCCACGTGATGTTGACATGGGCTAGCAACAAGAAGGCTTTGAGTGTTTGGGCCTGTTTCTTTTGGATCAGAAACGTAGGAAAGTGGATTACTTGAGCCCAACCACTGCTTTAAACAATCAGCCCATTTCTTCCCCTGCTGATGTTTTGCCAAAAAACTTGTCTTTTGCGGGTCCTGTGGAACAGGCCTGCCCAAAACAATGAGTATCTTAGCCTAGAACTATCGCGGGCTTGGGAACCCAGCGATGGTTCAAGTATTAATGAACCTAGTCCCTTCTAAGAAGCCCAATGTGGTGTTTTTATGTGAGACTCTGTTGAACTTGAATAAACTCCAGCCCATTAAATCTAAACTTGGTTTCGCTGGCCTGTTTGTCATGAATAGCGTGGGTCAAAGGTGGCCTAGCCCTCTTATGGAAGGAAGGTATAGAAGTCAGTATTAACTCTTACTCTGAGAATCACATTGACTCCAAAATCTGTCTCAATATTGGCGACCCTAATTGGAGATTCACCGAATTCTATGGGGTGCCCGAGAGACACCGCCAGCAACAATCATGGTCACTATTGAAGCTTCTATCCTCCCTCAACCCCCTCCCTTGGGTGGTCATGGGGCACTTTAACGATATCCTTATCCCTTAGGAGAAGCGTGGTGGTATCCCCCAACCTAGTAGGCATATAGAAGGTTTCCGTGAAGCAGTCGAGTCAAGTGGCCTATTTGGTATGAAGACCGATAAATCCCTGAGGTCCTGATGGTTTGAGCCTAGGGTTTTTTTTTCTGTATTTCTGGAATAGGGGGAGAGGTGGTGAAGTTCTGCTCGGAGTGTATTCAAACTGGTAGAATGCCTAAGGGTATAAACTTTACCCATATCATCTTCATACCTAAGAAACAGAATCCTAAACTCTTAGGGTATCTTAGCCCCATAGCCTTATGCAATGTCCTCTACAAGCTTGTTTCTAAAATTCTCTCAAATAGAATCAAACTCCTTCTAAACTAGCTTGTTTCTGAAACCCAATCAGCCTTTGTCCCGGGAACGTTAATTACAGACAATGTCATGGTGGCCTATGAGATAAACCATTATTTGAAAAGAAAGAGACATGGGAGGGTGGGCTATGTTTGAATCAAACTGGATCTAAGTAAAGCTTACGACCGGGTAGACTAGAACTTTCTCATTGATATTCTCAGGAAAATGGGGTTTGGAGCCCATTTTGTTAACCTCATATGGGAGCTTATATCCTCTGTTGACTATAAAATCCTCCTTGAGGGTAGAGAGACTGGTTTTATTCAACCTAGTAGAGGTATCAAACAGGGAGACCCCATCTCTCCATACTTTTCATCCTAATCCTTGAGGTTCTGGAGGTCATGCTACTGAAACATAAAAGGAATGGAGTGTTTCATGGGATTCAGGTAGCTAGAGGAGTTCCTGAAGTTTCTAACCACTTTTTTGTAGAGGATTGTTACCTATTTTGCAGGGCTAATGTGGCTGATCAATGTAGTACTCTAAAAAGTACTATTGATGATTTTGTCTGTGCATCTGGACAGATTGTTAATCATGCTAAATCTACTACCAGCTTTAGCTCTAAAGTGAATTCTGACCTTAAGGATAGTCTCTGCTCCCTTCTTGGAATGAGAGAAGGAAATCTTAATGGAAATTATCTTGGGCTGGCCTTCCTTATTGGCATAAATAAGAGAGAGGTTTTGAGCTACATTAACGAAAAGGTGGGGCTGCGATTGAGAAAGGAATAGAGGTATCATGTGGAAATGTTGGGAGGCTCTCTCACTACAAAAAAAAAAAAGAAAAATGCCTATATAACGACGGATTTAGCGACGGACAATTTCTGTAGCTAAATTAGCTACGGAATAGAGACAACTTAGCGACAGATTTTAATTTTGTTGTTAGATTTACATTTAGCAACGGATTAGTGAGGAATTTGCGATGGATATTGCGACAAAATATTTCCGTCGTTAAATACGTAGCTAATTTTAGAGCAAGAAAATAGCGACGGATTCGTGACGGAATTTTCGCGGGTGAGCTCCAAAATTTTTAATAATCTTAATTGCTACAGTTTAGCGACGGATTTGTGAATCCATCACTATATTTAGCGATGGATTATTAAATCCGTCGCTAAACATACAAGGTGATAATTTTGTTTTCTATGTTAGCGACGGATTATGAAATCCGTCGCTAAATATAGCTAGGGAATCTCATATTCGTCGCTAAATATACCAGGCGAGAATTTTGTGTTTATACTTTAGCGACGGATCATTTAATCTGTTGCTATCGTATATAAAGCTAGAATTATTTTATATTTTAGCGACGGATCTGATCCCTCGCTATTTTTTTTTAATAATAATAACATTGGGATTTACCATTGAAAACCTAATATCAAAGGACATAGCCACAGTGACACACCTCGTCCGCCTCTCCTACGACTCTGCGACCACCTGCGCCTCCCCTGCGATTCTGCGAGAGAGGGGATTTCAGCGCCGCACAAGTACTAGCACTGGGGCTCCTCGGTTTTCTCGATTCCCACCCTCATTCCGAAAACGACCGGTCTTTCGTTTGCCCTATTCGATGCGAAGCCTTATCGAACCTCGACTTCACTCGCCGCTCCTTAATTCCTGAGACTGATCGGTACCGATTCATTCAATATTTTTGCTGATTACATGTATTTTAACTTATTTATGTCTGCATAGTTGCTTTAAGTCCCAATGGGAATGGAATTTCACTACATATTTTTTTACATCTTTTAGTTTATTTGATTTATAACTCGATGCGCGTTGCTTTGACCTGCTTGTTTATTTATAACTGATATTGGAGGCATACCTGTGCTGTATAGATTTTTAGTTTTGAGGAGAAAATAATTAAACTGTAACATAGAATGATCTGTTCAATACAGTGTTCAGTAATCAACATTGTAATGCAAGAATATTTTCTTAAAATATAGAGGTTCTTTTTATTGCAGGGTATGGAACTGTTTTCTCGTATTGGTAAGCACTTTGATGTGAAAGTTTTCATAAAATGCAGATTTGGCATGATGCCTTGTGCAGTTCTTGCTGTGACTTACTGCATAAAACAGGTAAAAATTGTTAAATTTATATCTCAAAAGTTTTCACGAAAGGATGTTGATTTGTTTTGTGAGAGTTTAACATTTCAAAATCAGATTTAAGTCCAGTTGAATTTTCATTGCATGTATGATTGTAGCTTTTTGTTTTTTTTACATTAAACGTTTTATGCCAAAGAGAGTCACTCACATTATTCCGTTATTGATTATGACCTATGTAGTGTAATGATTAAATGACTAAAATGTGTCATTGCTACCGTTAACCTTGGGTTATGGGATACTGCAGGTAACCATTTCAAATCCCATTGTATTCTATTGCTATTAAGACTTGGTGAGAATGATTTTGAAGTGGTAGAGGGATGGTAGGCTTGATAGTTTCTTCCTCACTTACAGGAGCCGAGGCCATTATCACAAAGGGATTTGGACAGAGTTATATCAACATCAAAAAACACATAAGTAGTTGCAAGTGAATATAACAGATTCAGTTCACAAACATCTAGATAGTCACGGCAGAGGGACCGAGACAATTATCAGGTTCAAGCTGCAATCAGCGAGCTCTCAAAGCTCGTCCTTTCACAAATTACAAACCTGCAGAGTCTGATTCAAACGACTGTTAAACTCCACCACTAATTAATATTTTCTGATGTATTGGAATAATTTTTAGGAATATTTGGACATGCATAAATTGTGTCCCTTCTTGAGTTTGATAGTTTTGAAAAACTATTTCCAAATTGTTTTGGTTTATTACTTGTATTAATGGAATATTTTCGAGTTTTGACACAATTATTTATGTTGTTCTTTTCTTCTTAGAGTCCTGACATAAATCGTAGTAAATTCGTAGCTAAATATCTTTTAATAACAAAGAATGACAACCAAATAACGATGGAATTATTTGTCGCTAAATTTAGCGATGGGTATTTTCGTCTCTAAGCTGTAGCAAAATGGTATCCAATAGAAACAAATTAGCGACGGAATTTTCCGTAGCTATATTTAGAGACAGATTTAGTTACAAAAAAATCCGTTGTTAAATCTAGTGATAGAAAATTCCGTCGCTATTCCCTTGCAAAATTTTTATTTAAATCGTCGCCCAGAGGAAAATAGCGACGGATTTTTTTTAGTTTAGCGACAGAAAAACCCGTCGCTAAATGTAGCGACGGACTGAAATTGTGTCGCAAAATTTTAGCGAGGCGACTTTTAGCGACGGGCCAAATCCGTCTCTAATCTGTCGCTATACTGTTTAGCGACGGGATTTTCCCTTTCTAGCGACGGAAAATTCCTTTGAGCATTTTTTTGTAGTGTCTGTGTTCCTAAGAAATGCGGTGGCATGGGGTTTAGGAAAATTCGAGACTTCAACTTATCCATGTTGGTTAAACGAGCCTGGCGTCTCATCCAACAACCCAACTCCTAGGCTGCTAAAATATATAAAGCTAGATACTATCCTAGGGGATCTTTTCTTACTACTACCTTGAGAAGTAATCCTTCTTTTATATGGCGCAGTATTTTTGAATCTCAAAGCATTATTCAAAGAGATTATAGATGGAGGGTGGGTGATGGTTCTTCTATTAATGTGTGGTATGAACCTTGGATTCCTAATGCTTCTATTCCTTTTATTCAAACTACAGTGATTGAACAACTATCTGATATTAAGGTGGAATCCCACTTGGACATTCAGAAGAAGGGGTGGGAAACTGATATCCTTAAGGATCTCTTTGTTGAGGAAGATATGGTCCAGATTATGAAGATCCCAATTGCTGAGACAAGGTTTGCTGACAAAGTCATCTAGATGGGTGAACCAAGAGGTAACTTCACTGTGAAGAGTTGCTACAAAATGCTACAAAATATCCACCATGAAGCAGATGCTCCTACCTGGGCCAAAATGTGGAAATTTCGACTACCTCCTAAGGTTAAAACATTTTTTTGGCAATTGAATTCTAACTGTGACACCCCGTAAATCCAAATTCTATTTAAGGATTAATTAGATAATTAATTTTAGCTTAATTGATAACTTAATTCCTAAAATCCTGAAAATTCAATAGTCGGAGGACTAGAAATTGACCAGTCAATCCAAGTCAATGGGTTGTACTCTATGCTTTGTGAATTGTTCCCTTGTCTCCTTACACTTTTTCATTTTAGTAAGGGTAAATAAGACTTTTCACCTTATGTTTGTATTCCAAGCTAACCTAGAGTCATCTTTCATTTCTTTTCCCTAACACCCTAAAAAGAAAAGATCCTCATTCTCTCTAGAAAATAGCTAGCTTCTTCTTCAAGCCAAGTTTGGGCAATCCAAGATTCTTCAAGTTGGTCTCCAAGATTCAAACTTTCTTAACCTTGAGCATAAGGGGGGGTAAGATCCATGGTTCCGTAGTGTTTTTAATACCTTTTTAGGTGTCTTTTCTAAAATATAGAATCTTTGTTGTCTTTTGGTGTGTTCTTAAAGTTGAAGTTGAAGGAGAGCTTTAGGAGAAGCTTTAAGGGTGTGAAAAGTGAAGGTTTAGGCTACAAGAGGTAACCCATGCTTTACAAAATCTATTTTCTTACCTATATGATGATTTCTTAACTTCTACTTGTGATTTTTGCTATGAAATGTGAGATTTGACGCATTGTCTTGTGAGAATGCATATCTAGAGCTTGTTATTAGGGTTCTTGTATTCCATTGCTTGGCTATTCCTTTGATTCAAGTCATATTGTTGTATTTTGTGAGATTATGGGTGTTTCGGACTTGAATTTGGACTTGGTGTTGTGATCCATTGATTGATTCCTATGATGAATGTGTGTGTATTGGCTGTACCTGGATTGCACGATTAATGGTATGGGACATTAATCACCAAGGTACAGATGTGGTCCTCGTGGTGGCCATGAAATGATAATGGAGTTGTAAATTGGGCTTCAGGCTCATGTGATCTGGGCTTCAGGCTCATGTGATTGGTGGTTGTGTGATTGAAATGATCGGTACCCTTGTGTACTTTGAAATCGGTGGTTGACGATTTGGTGGTTGTTGGTGGGGAACGACGGTTCCCGGAGGCATAAGGTTGGACTCAGAAGTACAGGGGTTCTCGGAGGTAATGGTTGGAAATGTAATAAGGTCGGGGGTAGGCATAAGGTTAGAACTTGTGGCATGAAGTGTCACGGTGGCATGTAGTGCCAATGTGTGATAGTCTATCCTTTCTGATGAGCATGTCGAGCGGTGTTATCCTTTGTGATCAGTAGAATACACCTCGAGTGGTACTTCTGTTGTTGTTGTCTTTGTCGTGATGTTTTCTGCTTCGTGATAGGTAGATTACATCTTGAGCGGTGTTGAGTTGTTCTGTTGTTGTTCTTGTCTTGATGTTGTCTTGGGATGTTGATTTCCCTTGTTCTTTTCAGAGTGAAATAGAGTCTTTGCAGTTGACTTCTCTCTTTACGGTTTTAAATTGATATATACTGTATTCCGTTTCGAAAATGATTTTGTATTAAACTATCTATATATGCTATTGAACGCGTATTGATGGGTTACCAGCAATATTCGCTGACCGGGCGTCGTCCCCTTTCTTTATGTGCTTTACAGGTCCTGAGTAGACATGGCGAGGCGTTAGCCGTGGATAGTTTAGATCCCTTGACTTTGTACTTAGCGTTTTGGCCTGTGTGCCACATTTGTTGAACAATTAGATTGATGGTTTTAGATTTGCCTGTGCATTCACGTTGAGGTGAATGTGGCATAACACTCCTTGGTTTTCCCGGTTTCTATATTAGACTTCCGCTGTGCTTATGTTTTATGTTATATGTTGGTTAGTTTGCCTTGTGTATTTAAGTTTTAAAATGGCATGAAAATCGGGGGTGTTACACTAACTCCCTCCCAAACTATGGAATGCTGAGATCTAGATAGGTTCAAACACCTAACATCTGTCAGCTTTGTAGCAATGAGGATGAGTCAAGTTACCACTTGTTTGTGTGCTATAGTTTTACAAAGGAAAGGTGGGACTTATGTGGAAGAATACATTATAGCAGCTTTTAATCCCTTCATGAGTGGATGGACTATTGTTTTAACTCTTTGGATGATATTACCCTCTGCAAGCTTATTATGATTTGTTTACGTATCTGGGAAGCTCGAAATGATAAGGTCTGGAACCATCATGTCACTTCTGCTGCTGCAGTGGTTGATCAAGCCAACATCTTCTTTCAGGAATGGTCCAATATTAACTCTGATATTCAGGATTCTACTACTGTAGTTGCTCACCCCACAAAATGGACAAAACCCCCTCCTGATTATTTAAAGGTAAATGTCGATGCAGCTCTGGATAGTATCAACATGCAAATGGGGCTTGGTATCGTTATTAGGGACTCCATGGGGGAGTTTGTTGCTGCTAGAATGATCCCTTGGACTGGTACTTATGAACCCGGGGAGGCTGATAAACATTATTTTTTAGTGTTATTTTAAATAATCTTTTTATAGTTAATTTGCAATAATTGATTGATTTTATATTTATTTTTATTTATTATTGTTTTTAATAGCTTTGTTAATATTTTCCAATTTTAGGTTGTTTTTATTATTATATTTGTTTATTATTTGATTTTTGTTGGTCCAGTAATTATTGATCTTAATTTCATAATAACAATAGTTATAGTATTACATGATCAGCAGGAGTTTAATAGATGTAGATTAGTTATATATGGTCTCTAATAACTTTTTATTTTTATTATTATTATTATTATTATTATTATTATTATTATTATTATTATTATTATTATTATTATTATTATTATTATTATTATTATTATTATTATTATTTAATAGATTTTGTTAGCTAGTCAAATTCCTACGAGATAAAAGGCGCAGAATCATATTTTGCATATCAATTTCTCTGGCGATCCGAATGAGTAGCGGAAGTGCGGAGCAGAGGTTGAGTCTGAGGCAATATAAATAGAGGGCAATGGAAGGAGGCTTGATATCAACTCACCCCGGAGCAAGTCCGGAGGCGGTGGCCGGATAGTTTCTTCTCCGAGCAACAACTGCGGTCGACACGGCTGGATTTTGGTGTTCGGCGTGGCAACGAAACTGGTCGGCTGAGAGGTGTGGGCGTGAGAATTTTTGATCAATCGCAGTACGCACATTGGGTGACGAAATTCCATAGTTGGCAGCGTGTTGGCTTAAGAGTTCTCCTTTCTTCACTTGTTGTCAATTTTCCATTGTTTCGTCATTAATGTTATTAGTTTGCCTAGTTTTTTTACATTGCTTTTTCTCTACGTGTTTATCAAATATGCTGCTAGTTTTAAGATTTCTAGGAATATGATGAGAGTATTATGAAGCTTTTGCATTAGTTTGTGTTTAATTTTGCCAATCAAGTTAAGTGCAAAACTAGGAATGGTAGATAATTTAATTGCTTAGCTCTTTAAATTTTGGTTTAATTATGTTATCATTTGAATTGGTCTCCATCTTTGATATTTATTTTAAGCCCTTTTAATTAGTTTAAATTCAAGGTTATTGCATTGTATTTATGTTCCTAAGATTTTATTCTCCTGTTAGTTGTCTGCTATATTAGTTTTGTTTTTTTCCTTTGCCGTTGTTTTATTGTCTTTCTTACCTTGCTTCCTACTGCGTATCTATTTAGTTCAATTCATTTTGATTGTTAGTTGGTTTTTGAGCATTTTAAATTATCAAGTTCGTTAATTTAATTTTAAGCTATTAAATTGCATCGTACAATTCCCTGTGGGATTGACCCTTGCCTTTGCACGCTATTGCTACAATGACTCGTGCACTTGCGAGGACTTAATAAAAATTGTCCATCAGAGGCGGAAACTCTTACTATTCGGGAAGCGCTAGAATGACTTAAAAATTTTAATCTAGGCAGGGTGCAGCTGGAATCAGATTGCTTGCAACTTATCACTGCTATCCAAAACAACGATCTTATTTCCTCTTTTGGTCTTTTGGTTAATGATATTAAGGATGCAGTTGGAGAATTTATTGATCTCAACTTTTCGTTTGTCAAACGGTCTGCGCATATGGTAGCCCACACTTTAGCTAGGAATGCCATTTCTAGGTTAGATTGTTCGGACTGTTTTACGGTCCCTTTTCCTTTTTTATCTCATGTTCTGAACTCTAATCGTTTTTAATGATATCTTCGTTTTCTTCTCAATATATATATATATATATATATATATATATATATATATATATATATATATATATATATATATATGTGTGTGTGTGTGTGTGTGTGTGTGTGTGTGTGTGTGTGTGTGTGTGTGTGTTGAAATTGAGGGATTGATAATTCTGGCGGGTGGAGAATAACCACTACCCGCCAGTTAGGCGGAAGCAAAATATGTGAGAACCAAAGAACAAGAGAATAAAGAGAATATATTATAGTGGAAGATTACAATAGATTGTCTCTCTGTATATATATGTTCTATACTTCAATGGACCTCTATATATACTACACTAGATACTAAATTAGTCTAGGAAACTAAGACAACTTTCCTAATATTCAACACTCCCCCTAAAGCTGGAACATCTGGAAGTTCCAAGCTTGGATTAAAACAAGCACTCTACCTCACTCAAAATTATAAATGAAAATTAAATGCAACTAGAGGATAACAATGCGAGATGGCTTCGGAGGGACAATGCAACCCTTGGGAATGAACACGCCAGGGGCAAAGCTTGTCACGAACATCCTTAGGAATGGAGGCACCAAGGGAAAACACGAACACCATCATAGCAACATAAGCACTCTAGGATGGATGACTTCAAAAGAGATTGCGTTATGTCTGACCCTTCCTTGGGAATGAAGACGAAGGCACCAAGAGCGGAGCGGAACACAATCCTTGGGAATAAAGACGAAGACACCAAGGACGAAGCTAACACGATCTTGGGAATGAACACCGAGGACGGAATTGAACATGAACCTCGGGAATGAAGATGAACACACCAAGGATAGAGTTAAACATGAACAACCTCCCGTTAACACAAGAGAGCGGTAGAGGCAAAACGGGAGCAAAGAATAGCAAAGGACGCAGTAGAGCCCATAATTGATAAAATAGCAAATGATAGTAAAGGATAGCACACTGATTGTAGATAGTCACACTCCCCCTTACTTGAAACATGGGAAATAATCTAAGGCCTTTATAGTAGTGCTGAAACTGAACATCCATGGGGATAAGGCATACCGGAGATAAAGAAACAAATACGGTTATACCAAAACACAAACACCATGGGAAAAGTTCGGCAACAAACCCAAAGAAGCCTTCAAATTTCACCAACAAGTCGAAAGAAGGGCAAAACAATCTGAAAAATCTCGTTGGAGGAATACTCACGCGCCGGCGCGTGAGGAAGATCGCCAGCGCGTGACGGCGGCGGTGGCGCGTGAGGACGACGGCGGTGGAGGAAAGCGATGAAATTTTCCAGATAAGGTCACAAGAGGGAGAGGAATCCATTGGTGTAGGAGGTGAGATCACAAAATCACTGGAGAAGAGGAGATCTGACCGGAAAAACTAAAGCAGTCCGTCAGCGATGGTGGCGCGTGCCAGCGCGTGGCGGCAGATGGTGACGAGATTCCAGGCGTAGGCTCGTGACGATGATCGAGAGGTCCTGTGGTGTAAGATTTGGAGAACAACCACAAGACACGTCGGAACAAGAGAAAACAATCACAGGTTCGCCGGAAAATAAGTGCTGCCGGAAATATTGGAAGAAAAATAGCCTAGGAAAGTAGGCTCTGATACCATGTTGAAATTGAGGGATTGATAGGTCTGGCGTGTGACACCCCGAAATCCAAATTCGGTTAAGGGATTAATTAAGTAATTAATCCTATCTCAATTTGTAATTTAATTCCTTAAATTCCTGAAATTTAATAGTCGGGGACTAGTAATTGACTAGTCAACCCCAAAGTCAAAGTTGTACCTTAAGCATTGTAAGGAGTTCCCTTGTTCCTTACACCTTTCCATGTTAGTAAGGGTATTCTTGACCTTTCACCATGTGTTAGTATTATAACCTAACCTAGTGAGAACACCTCATTTCTATCCTTACACTTTCCAAAATCCTAGCTCCATCTTCTCTCGAAAAAGGTGGGTAGCTTTTCTTCCAAGCCAAGTTGAAACTTTGTCAAGACTTCAAGAGTTGCTTCCAATATTCAACCTTTCATATATTTGGGCATCTAGGAGAGTAAGATCCATGTTCATCTTGTGTTTTTAGTGTTCTCTTAGGTGTCTTTTCTTAAAGATAGGATCTTTATGATCTTTTGGTGTGTTTTTGAAGTGGGTTTGGAAGGTGGGCTTTGATAGGAGCTTGGTGTGGTGTTAAGTGAAGGTTTTTGGTCTACAAGAGGTAACCCATGCTCTACAAAATCTATTTTGCTTACCTATGTGAATATTTATTGGATTCTACATGTGTTTTGCTATGAAATGTGAGTGTTGATGCATGATCTTGTGAAAATGCATATATAGAGCTTGTGTTTAGGGTTCTTGTATTTCATTGCTTGGCTATTCCTTTGAGTCAAGTCATTTTGTTGTATTTGGTGAGTTTTGGCATGTTTTGGACTTGAATTTGAGTTTGGAGATGAAAATCCGCGAAGTGATTTATTGTGGTACACCGCGGGCGGAACGGCGGGTAGGGGTCCAACCCGCCGCCCACCCGCGGGGTACATATTGTGGAAGGGCTTGTACCCGTGGGCCCACCCGTGGGGTACACAGTGTGGTTGTGTGGGGATTTGTTCCCTGTGATTCTTTTGACTCGGTATTTGGTCTTTTGACTTCCCGTTGTTCTTTTGTGGAACTATTTGAGTGTCTTCTTTATGTTTCGTATGTCTAGAACTATATGGTAGGATTCCATGTAGGTTTTGGTGTCGTGAATCGTGCTAAGTGTTCAACATTGTGTTTCGTTGAACCGTGATGAGTCTTGTGTGTTCTTCGGAACTACGCTTGGTTTACCCGTTTGATAAGCATGCTAGTTTGGTGTTTAAATGCTATCGTGTGTGTTGTTTGTACCTTCCTATTGGTTGATGATAACTTGTGTTATTCATCGTTGTTATTGTTGGACTGTGATCCATTCCTTGATTGAGTATGGATTCATATCTTCGTTGTGATCCGTTATTTGATTCCTGTTGTGGTGTGATGCGTGTGTGGCTTTACCTGGATTGCACGATTAGTGGTATGGGACACTAGTCACCAAGGTATTGCAGTGGTCCTCGTGGTGGCCATGACGTGATTATGGAGTTTGTGGTCTGAGTGATGGGTCCACGTATTTCTTGGGTGGCATGTGTTGCCGTGTGTGTGATCGGTACCCCCGTGTACTATGAAATTGGTGGTCTTGTTGGTGGTTTGTTGGTGGGGGGTGATGGTCCCAGGAGGGAAAAGGTTGGACTAAGAAGTACAGGGGTCCTGGAGGTAATGGTTGGAAGAAGATTCAATGTTGGGGGTAGCCATAAGGTTGGAACTGGGCATAAGGAAGGCATATCAACTCGTGATGGGTGATGTCATGAGGGCTTGTGTAGCCGTTGTTATGAGTTCTCTTCTTGTGACGTGTGTAGTCACAAGGGCATGTGTTTCCTTGGCATGTGTTGCCGTTTGTCGTGTCTTATTCCTTTGAGTTATGCATGTCGGGTGTTGGTCTATTGTGTGATGATAGACCATACCTTGAGACTTCTTGTGAGTCGTTATTGTTCTTTATGGTCTTGGGATATGTTCCCGTGTTCTTGTTGAGAGTGTTGAGTCTAGTGTTGGCTATTACTCTTGGTTTTTTACTTATATATATGTATTCTGTTTCGAAAATGGTTTTTTAAACTTATATCTTACCTATGTATGATATTTCACATGTATTGGTGGGTTACCAGCATTATTCGTTGACCGGGCGTCGTCTCATGTTTATTGTGTTCTTTCAGGTGATGTCTAGACGAGTGCGCGGTCTAGTGCTTTCTAGTATAGCTTCTCCCTTACATTTTGTGGCCTGTGAGCCAGCTTAGATGTAGAACAATGAGACATTTGGTTTAGATTTAAACATTGCGGATGTTGCCTGTGCGTTCATCCCTTTGGTGAACGTGGCATAGCACCCCGTATTCCAGTTTGTTTATATCTATCTATCTTTCAGTCTTCCGCTGTGTTTGGTGTTTGGTTTAGTTATCTGCATGTTTAAGGTTTTAAATTAGCATGTTTCTTTGGGGGTGTTACATGGCGGGTGGAGAATAACCACCACCCGCCAGTTAGGCGGAAGCAAAATATATGAGAACCAAAGAACAAGAGAATAAAGAGAATATATTATGGTGGAAGATTACAATAGATTGTCTCTCTGTATATATGTTCTATACTTCAATGGACCTCTATATATACTAAACTAGATACTAAATTAGTCTAGGAAACTACTAATAAGAATAGGAAACTAAGACAACTTTCCTAATATTCAACAATATATATATATATATATATATATATATATATATATATATATATATATATATATATATATATATATATATATATATATATATATATATATGGAAGGGTTCAGCTGCGGTGATGGCTTCCCGTGCGGTTGTGCGGTTGGACGCACCTTAATCATTAACATGACGCATCTTAAATACACAAATCACCACACACCTTAAGTCCACAGAAACAACTATCAGCTAACTGCCATTTACCAAACAGGGCCTTTGTGTGTATTCAACTATATAATTCTGTACATTATGGATTTCACTTCCATACCTGAGTAAGCCGAAATGATATTTATTAGACTTCTGTTTATGCATATTATGTTAAGAGTTTATGTGTAATATTAATTTATTTTTTATTTTTTGCAGTGAAATGTTGTTTTCTGGCAACGATTTGTTTGCCACAAGGGATGACTTTGCAACATTGGCAGTCGGGCAGGTATTTACCAGCATTCTACAAATCTGGAGCCAGAGAATGAATGTGATTGATATGAGAAGACGAATAGATCAACCAAAAAAGGTCCTTTTCTCAGAGGTTACTTATGTAAGTAAACATCTTAACCTAATCTTTTTTTTTAAACAACGCATTATATAACAAACAATCATTTCTTTACTGATGCTACTTGAAGTAGTTCAATTGAAAGCTTGAAATCTAAATGCGACTTCTGTGCTAACCTTGACTACCAATTGAGTATCATTTATGTTGATATAACTGACACAAAGCTTGTAAGTAAAAAATCTCTGTACCATAAATATGTAAATTCTGTACATTATTAATTTGAATTCTGTATATAATGCAATCTGTTATATTTCTTGTGATTATTCATTACATATCTTCTTCAATATCTTGCGCCATGACCATCACTACCTCATGTGCTTCAACTTCCTAATTCAAAACTTCAAGTCATCGACAACAAATTGTTGCCTGAAGGGATATCAAATGAAAACAAGTACGAGGACTGTCCAAAGAAATTAGTAAGATATGGTTTTACTAATATTTTGTATCTACACCCTAAAATTTAATATCTATAGTTCTCAAATCAATTAAACACTACTATATTCTATAACTATATTCTGCAGTTGGCTGCATTCTACAAGTACCTCCAGAACAAAAAACAAAAAAAAAAAACAAAAAAAAAAAATCCCCTTGCTAGGAAGGTGAAAAATATGCAAGTGGAGTACGTGCATATGCCATGGAAAATCGAAGACAACCTAGTAAACTGTGGCATATAGTCCATGAGGCACATGGAAACAGGTACGATGCAAAGCTTGTAAGTAAAAAATCTCGATACCCTAAATATTTAAATTCTGTACATTATTAATTTGAATTATGTATATAATGCAATCTGTTATATTTCTTGTGATTATTAATTACAAATATTCTTCAATATCTTGCGCCATAACCATTACTACCTCATGTGCTTCAACTTCCTCAATTCAAAACTTCAAGTCATCGACAACAAATTGTTGCCTGAAAGGATATCCAATGAAAAGAAGTGTGAGGACTGTCCAGGATAAATCTTATTCTGATTTGTGGGAATTTGGACTTGTAATCTTTGACGGGGTGTTTGGTTGGAATGAATGAATTAGGGGGAAAAGGAATTGTAATTCGGTGAGAAAAGAATAAGGTGAGAATAAAGTAGGAATTCAAATTACGTTGTTTGGTAGGGAAAAATAGAATTATTGGAGTTGGGAAGGAAAGAAGTGGTATAAAGATTAAAATACCCTTCGAAAATGATTTTTGTAATATACTATCTATATATGCTATTTAATGCGTATTGATGCGTTACCAGCAATATTCGCTGACCGGGCGTCGTTCCCTTTCTTTATGTGCTTTACAGGTCCTGAGTAGATATGGCGAGTGCGCTAGCTATTGGTAGTA